TGTTGTTGACTATTTATTTTCAATCTAAACAAAAATACTAGTAAAACAAAAGAGAGAAAAAATACAACCAATCTTTACACGTAAAGGTTTTTGTGTAGATGAAGCTTTTATTTTCTCAATTACATATAGACACGATATTGTTTCTCTGTGGTGAGGTGAATATTCCTATCTAAAGTACAATTATGTCCGATAAACATTCACTATCTAACCACTAAGTAATTTGGAAACTACTCGAGTACTACGGCGTACCCCAAATATTCATCAATCTTATTCAACAACTGTACGACAACCACACATGTCAAGTGATCCACAACAGAAAACTCAGCGAGGCGTTTGGAGTAAACACAGGAGTCAGACAAGGGTGCTTATTATCACCAATGATATTCCTAATTGTGGTGAACTGGATTATGCGTCAGACAGTGTGAAACGAGAAGACAGGGATATCCTGTCCTGACCGACGTGAAGAACCTAGAAGACCTGGATTTCGCGCGTGGATGATTTATGTTTGATGTCACACAAAATCGAAGACTTACAAGCGAAAACCGACAAACTGGTCGAAGAAGCAGCCGGTGAAGAAAGGACTCCAAGTGAACACAGACAAGACGGAGGTTATGAAAATAACCAACCAACAACAACAACAGCAGCAGCAACATCCACCGCCAATCACCATCAACGGGAGGGATTTGAAAGAGGTTACTTCATTCACTTCACTGATCTAGGGAGCATTGTCTCAACTACAAGAGGAACGGACAAGGATGTCAAATCGAGAATCGGGAAGGCGAGAAACACATTCATTAACCTGAAACCAATCTGGAAATCTTCGTCACTCAACTCATCATCAACAACAAAATTCGGATCCTCAATGCAAACGTCAAGTCACTTCTTCTATACGGATCAGAAACTTGGTTAGTCACCAAGAATATTTTCAACAGGTTGCAGACCTTTATCAACAGCTCTCTTCATTCTATACTGAAGATCAGATGGTCGGAAAGAATCACTAACAAGGAACTATGGGAAGAAACAAAACAAGAACCAATCACCCAACAAATATGCAGGAGAAAGTGGAGATGGATTTGACACTCGCTGAGGAGGCCACTCGCTGGGTGACATCGCGCGTCAGGCCAATGGTTGAGTGGAACCCGAAAGGGAATCGGCGAGTGGGACGTCCAAGCGTGACGTGGAGGAGATCGTGTGAAGAGGAGTTGCAACAGTATGGACTAACATGGATGCTAGTGAATAGTACAGCAGAAGACAGAAGCAATTGGAGACGTGCAGATGAAGACCTATGTTCCACTAGGAACCCAAGGGAACAACGACAATCTAACAGTTTGCACTATCTGCTGTTGGAAGTGAAATCCAGTGAATATATCCTTCACTTCTCAAAGTGGTATACAGCTGAATGTAATGTGAATAAACTCTAAAAGTATCTTCTGAATAATCAAGCGTACCGAATAGTTAATTTAATTTAGTGACTACTTGTTTGGTTTCTAAGGATTAGATTTGTTGATACAAGTTTGACCACGGATTGATATCAGTTAGAGAAGCATTGTAAACCAGCACTGGAGTACTGGACAGCTGTTTCATCCCACCTCGTTTGGGAATCATCATGAGTACGCACCCAATGGCGTCCCGGTGGCTGAATGGTATACAAGTTTGTCTTCTAACTGAAAGGTCCTGAGTTCGAACCCCAGTGGGTGCGTACTGCCGATGATTTCCAAACTAGGACAAAACAGATGTCCAGTACTCCAGTGCTGGTTTTCAATACTTCTCTAACTGGTATCAATCCGTGGTCAAACTCGTTTAGTGATTGCGTTTTTCAAGTATTGGTTTGTAGGGATTTGATTGGTTGATTGCAGGACTTCATCATGAGCTGACATCAGTTAGAGAACCACTGGAAAATCTGGGAGTACTTGATAGCTGTTTCGTCCTAGTTTGGGACTCTTCATCAGTACACACCCACTCCCAAGGTTCGAACCCAGGACCTTCTGGTTACAAGGCGGGCTGGCTCGTAGACTATTGAGCCACTGGGACCCGATCCAATGGTCCTTGAATTCTAACTACTGCCAATCCACGACATAGCGCGACCATTTCGCAATGTCTTCTTCGATGAGTTATTGCCTCATCTTCAACCTGCTGTATCCTACGTTTTTCAAATGATCGAAATTTGCACAAATGTTTGTAAAAGCGTTTCACACCACAGTTACTGAATAGAACGTAAATTAGGTTACTACAGAACCCAAAGACTTTTGAACTATGAGACACCGGTAAACTTGAACACTACAAGAATCAAATAATCAACTCAGAATTTCACTAGATTGTCAGATACTTTTCTAAAGGGAATATTTCGTTCATAATATTTTGTTTCTGAAATATAAGACAAATCTCCAGCATACATATCGATTTTTCACTAGCCCTCGGGGTAAAAAATGTTTGTTTGTTTGTTTAATCACTACTCAATATTTGAGTTTTACTAACGAGTCAATCAGTCAAAACAGGGAAGAGTGGAGATGAGGTTAGCTACCCCACCATATCTATTGAAATACAAAGGACCCCTTGAAACTCAAGGAATAAATCATATTACCACTGGTTTTACTTTGTGATTCGTCTCCTGTCTCTGATTGCTACAAAGTAATTCTTCCAGTAGGACACACTTTACACAACAACACTTTATTCAGTTCACAGATCACTTGATCAACTTCACAGTGTGTGTGTGTGTTATTACTGTATACCCTAAAGAAACTGATAAATATAGAACATATTAGGTGTAATTAGCCATGAAATCCTTACCAGCGTGATGATTAACTAGAGGTGCAAAACAGCAGTAAAAGTCACACCGATATGTGAAACAAAAAAAAATTGTGAATATTTATTGGTAGAATAATACACTAAGCAATCTGAGAAATAATCGATAGAAAACGCATTAACATTTCGTTTATTTTAATTGAATTTTAGATTTTCCTCGTCGATTGATTGGACCGAAGTGCTCGGTCTCAGGTTGACATGTCGGCTTCTTGAGTAGATGCTTCGACGATGTCTGGGAATGTAATTAGAAGTTAATTGGCGGATGGTGACTAGCAGTGGAATCCAGGATGTGCATTTCGTCCTATTTGGGACTCGTCATCCGGATGTGCCTGCATTTCACAGTGAGTGATGATGTTCCCGCCGAGGCTGGAACCCAGTGCCTATAGTTTCAAACGCCAAAGCATTATCCACTAGACCACCAATTAAATACTAATTAAATGCCCAGACATCGCCGAATCATCTTCTCAAGAAGCCGACATGTCAACCTGAGATCGAGCACTTCGGTCCAATCAATCGACGGGAAAAATCTAAAATTCAATTTTCTTAGAATCACCCGTTGCACAAGAGGTGGCTCTTGTGGCCCAAGTGGTCTAGTGGATAACGCTTTGGCGTTGGAAACTATGGGCACTGGGTTCGAGCCTCGGTGGGAACATCATCACACTGAGAAATGCAAGTACATCCAGCTGACGAGTCCCAACTAGGACGAAATGTGCATCCTGCATTCCACTGCTAGTCACCATCCACCAATTAAATTTCGTTTGTTTCCTTCTCAATTTGAAGTATTTTCTTTCTACAGATGACATAATGATAAAGTTTCCTCTCATTTCTAATTTCTCCTAAGTAGGATTATATACAGTGTATGACAGAATCGATAGGGGAGAAGATTTCAATGTTTGAACGTTACTGTTTTCTGTGTATAAAAATATTATAACAGCTGTAATTAAGCAACGTTTATCTACATGCATTTTTTTTACTGATTCAGACACATACTACTTTTTTCCCAATGTTTATAAAAGTCATATTTCAATGCATTAAGCAAATTTATTTTCAGCGATTAAGACAAAAAGGTAAAACTGAGAAAGGTTGAAGAAACGAGTGAAATTCAATAAAGAAATAACAATAAACTAGTACAAGATGTAGATTACAATCGTGGTCCGAGTTCGATTCCCGGCTAAGGCACTCTGAAACCCCGTTTAGCCAGTTGTTATTCCAGTAAAGGGACGGGCAATGTTAGCTGATATAGGGTCAGGCTGGAAAAGAGCTGGTGGCGGTCAAACGAAAACATGGCTATCAGTCAATGAAATCTACAACAGTTAGTCTAAGCCACGTAGGAAGGTGTAGACTTCCTGACTGGTCGGGGTCCTCGGGACGGTAAAAACCAATGGTTGGAAACAAGTGGTGACATGGCTCAAAATCGTTCTCAATGGCTGGTGCAGATGCACCCACTCCTTGTGAATTATGATTTCCAATTAAACTGTTTTGTTCTTCGTTATTACTATTCCTTTGTCTCACACCTCTGTTTACTGTCTATATTATTATGCATTTCTCCTACTTTCTTCTCTTGCTTTGTGTGCTACATGGAGTGTGGCGACTAGAACTGCCGCACATATGTGCAAAGTTCTATGTCGAAAACAGACAGAGAGAAGACAGTAAAGGGAGGCCTGAGGATAGCTACGCCATCCTGTAAAAATATAAATCATAGGTTAAGCTTTATAGTTTCAGTAGTGACTATTCAGATTCAGATTTATTGGTTGAGGATAGAAGGCTTGGAGCCTATGTTAATCCTTTTCCAGTAAATTTCTGTGGTTGTCCAAACCCTTCTTGAACGAATCAACTGAGGTTGCAGACACCACTTCTTCTGGTTCTCACACCGAGTCATAAACTCTTGGAACCGACTCCCAGAAGAAGTGGTGTCTGCAACCTCAGTTGATTCGTTCAAGAAGGGTTGGACAACACAGAAATTTACTGGAAAAGGATTAACATAGGCTCCAAGCCTTCTATCCTCAACCAATATCAATCAATAGTCACTACTGAAACTATAAAGCTTAACCTTAAAGTCTTGGAACGCAAGGGAACGAAGAAGAAGAAGAAATGACTGATTGAGGTCGAGTAAATACGATTTCTAGTCACGCAAACAATAACTTCAAATTTAAGCTGCATGTAAACTTTGATCAATAACACAAACGTTATCAACTTACCTTTATAACAAAGGCTGATCCATTTTTCGTTATTTCTTGAGGCATCTGCCTGAGGTTACAACCATCAATGCTGAGATACCTAAGATTAGGTAGTATTCCCAATTCAATAGGAAGTAAATCTAACGGTTTATTATTTGCCAGGTAGAGATGCGTCAGATTTTTCAGTTTACCTGAAATTTTTTAGGAGTGTTATTATTCTTATTATTATATAAAAGCGAAGTGTAAAAGGGCAAAAGTGAATCTTGCAAAAAAACAACGTAATACAATGTATGGAAAGAAGTAGAACGACTGTGCAACAAGATCATGAAAACAGACAAGGACACAAAACAAGAGCCTTCATCATGGTTCCTTCAGAAGGCGAGAAAAGAAGGTATTTGCAACAAATTCGACAGTCAATACGATTCTCTGTCGTATATGGCAATAACTCCAGCCACTGATTCGAATTTTCTCCCGGATCCCACCAAGAGAGTCCTGATGCACCGAAAGATGCAAACCTAATACAGCTATCCTTCATTCCACGGCATCGCGTAATGAACTAACCACCCGATTACTGTTTCTACTCAGTCCAGGGGTTAGTGAATAGTTATGATGGAGAAGATTTGTAGCTCAGGTGGATGATTTTGATGTAGTTGTGCTTTCTGAGCTGGATGATTTATTTGCGAAGCGTTCATTGCCCTACTTACTAGGCAACATCTTCAGCACATACTTCAATTTGAAGTAAGCTTTTAGATTTCTCCACGAGTTTGTTAGTCATCTCTCCTGGTGACGTTGAAAGTGACTGCTTGTTTTGTGTGTGTGTATGGGTATGAAAGCACACAAAAACAACCACTCACGTTCAAGGTCACTAGGAGACTTGATAAATAAACTCATGGAGAAATCTAAAAGCTTACTTCAAATTGAAGTATGCGCTGAAGACGATACCTAATAAGTAGGGCAATGAACGCTTCGCAGATAAATCATCCAGCTCAGGAGGCACAACTACATCAAAAATGAGAGAATAGTGAACTGTATGGCAGCCGCTAGAACCATATTCGTATTACTTATCAAAGTCACCGAAGCCCGTATCATAAGATGATCTCCATCATGTGTAAACGCAGGCCACCAAACCTCAGAATTACTTACATAACGATATCACCGAGAGCAGAAAATTCTACGGCGGCAATGACGACTGAACACGAAGAGATTCAGAACATCCTTATCTTGGACAGTCCAGATTTCACAGGCACAGAGCAAGACTCAGCGCACTGAAACGTTGTAAGCCCAAAATTTGACGGCCAGACTAACCTCTCATCGGTGACAGAGGCAGCTTACGTTGGCGTATATTGCCATAGCTTTCAATATAAGACCAGAGATCCCATCCGTCAAATCTCTGCCAGCACTCACACAACTACCTGGAGACACAAACTTCTCTACTAACTTTCTTAAATGCAGGCAAAGACCCATGAAAATTTAGCAGCAAAACTTCACGTTAATGGGTTTAGCTGGTGAAGTGGACCTGTGTTCTGGAAGAGGCATCAGTTACTTATAGGTTGCAGATACCCATAGGAGATATGTAATCCATTGGCTTAAGCACTCAGTTTTTGATCTGGCTCTATCTACTGCAGCCTGGGCTAAGGGGCGGTAGAGTCATGGTGTGGCTTATATCCTGGTACAATTTTAAGAAAATTAGAAACCGAAAAGAATACTAATATGAAACAAGAAGCTTTGACTAGTCTAGATGATTTCGTTTCATAAAGAAATAATTTTTTTAAACACGTAAATGAAAACACAACTTAAAAATGTTAATAAATATTGAGCTACTTTATTATTTATAAGTAGTGTAAAAACCAAACCAAAATATATTTGCTGGGCGTCCATGCCTGAAAAGCATAGGATTAATTAGATCCCAATGACCATTGATAAAAAAATGTACGCGCTTGAGAAACTGTAGTACAAAAACTCTTCACACTCACCGATTTCCGATGGCAAACGTTGTATAAGATTCTCTCTGAGTTTTAATTTTTTCAGATTGCTGAGATTACTGAAAAAGAGAAGAGGTATTTAGCTGGTATCAGCCAGAATGAAAACAGGTAGTAATAAGAAACAATCTGGCTGTTCAATTACATTTCTACCAAATAAAGTATAATTATATTTCAATAGTTTACACACAATGATAAGTTTTGTTATTGGTAATATTTCGAACAAAATTACTGCCCGTGTTCACACCACTGTTGGAATTGTTTTTTTATATTTGTAGAAGATAACAGTGAAATCTTAAAATTTAAATAAAGGAAAGAATCACGTTACCAAGCAGAAGTACTTTGCCCAATGATCCGCTTTAAACTGTCCCATAGTTAACTTCAAAATGTTTACCAAACTGTGAATAATCACTGTTGATGAGCTTCAGCAAGTGAATTGGAGTGATTCATGATTTCTTAGCTAGGTATTTCAAAACCTTATACGTAACATTTGATATCATATAGAGGATTTTAAGCAAAAAAAATTATGTGAAGCCAAAGGAAATTTCATTTTATTACTATTGTTGGACAAAATACAAACAGCTGAATAGACAGAATGGTATTATTCAGCAAAAAACACTGAGGCCTAGGTGACAATGTGGCTGTCTTCTTATTTTTGAAAATTTGAATGTGAAGCGCTCCACTTCGTTGCTAATGGAAACTGGTATGTTTCAAGGCACTGTACTCTGTACATTCCTTTTTTCTACCTTTTTGTATGACCTTCAATATTCTTCCAAAGCTAACTTCATTAAATATGCCGATGATCTGACCATTTCTGTCCCAGTAGTTTCTGCTTTGTATCGTTCTTATATGAATAGATTCTTATATGAAGTTAACAAATGGTCTCACCCAAAATGGTCATATTGTTGATTTTAATTTCAGATGCGAAAAAGACTTGCGTGGACTGGTTCAGTCCTCCCATGATTCATGTAATATTGACAGCAGTGTGATAGGGAGCAAATCGAATATCTCTTATCTCGGTATCAGTTTCTCTTCGAATCTGTGTTGGTCATCCCATATCTATTTGATTTCTAAGAAAACTTTTCGTCTGACTCATTACATAAAGAAGTTGAAACTTTCTGGAATAACTCAACCTCTTCTGTGAGTAGGGTTAGTGGTGTGCCTTTGACTCAACTAACTGACATTATTGTCAATAGGCACTTCAATTCAATTCTTGCAAACAGTTGGCTAAAGTTATCTTGTCTGATACCAAACATCCTCTTTATTCGCAACTCTCTCCTTTCACCTCTTCGGATAAAACAATGAGAGATTCCATAAGAATTGATGCTCGTACGACAAAATAGAAAAATTCGACGATACCATATTTAGTAGGGGTTTTGTGTGAAGAGAGAGGGTCAGATATCGGAAAGGAACTTATGGACTTTTCAAATCAGTAGTAACTGAACTGCAAAGCATAAGCAAAGATTATTATTATATGCCTTATCTATGATATTATCTATTGATAATTCATTATGTCTCCAACAACACTCTGTTTATACTGGTTTCATTATGAATATTTTAATTACTATTTTAAATTTTATGTATGTACATATGTATAAAAGGAGATAAATTGTTGCAATATGTATAAAAACGCTGAAAATTCCTTTCTGTATAATTATTATTGTTTGGAATGAAGTAATTATTATTATTCTATCTGCATAGACAATTTTAAAAGCACTCAGCAAGGAAATGAATCGCTTATGAAGACCACTCACCAACGTCTTTGAAACCAATTGTCTCATATGCACTATAAGACACCTGCCTTGAACTTAGGAACCCTGAATGAAGACGTTTACTTCGGTGATATTTGTGTACTACACAAAGAATATGCCACCTGGGTAATTTAAGTACTACTTAGTCGTACATTGTGCGTCGGTGGCATAGCAGTTAGGACGCTCGCCAACCATGCACATCGTCCGGGGTTCGATCCCCAGCCGACGCACTCCTTAACCTCGCTAAGCCAGAAATAAAAGCTGATAAAGAGGAAAGGTTGGGCATGAGGCTAGCAACCCCATCCTGTAAAAAATAAACACTGCTACAGAAACTTCAAGCCTCTAGCTTGAAGCCCTATGTTCCACTGGGAACGTGTAGGAATAAAAAAAATATTTACCATCTATGCATAATGTCCAGTTCAGTTAACAAGAGGTGCTTTATAAAAGAAAAGAACTAACAGAGAATATGCAATAACAACAGCATAAGATTGTTTGTCACAGATCTTGTGTTAGTTGACATTCATTAGAAAAATTTGTCTCTAAACTTCAGTGAATTCATGCTAATCTAACATAAATCAACACCCCAAAGTGGAAAAAAATGTATCTATCGGTAGAACATTCTATTAAAAATTCAACAGGTGTTTTCGCATTCTTACACTTCTATTTTAAGCGTTTTTCTTTGAGAAATTATGTAAAGAGAATCTGTGCATATTTACATTCTACAAACAACTGTGAATGCATAAGAATGGCAAATAATTACACAATCAAAGATTTATTTCTTACCCTATAGTTGTTGGAAGTCTAGATAAATTGTTTACATCTAAATTGAGTACTTGTAATTGATTCAGCTGGCCAATTGTTAATGGAATTGATGCAATCTGATTACACTCCAATTCAAGATGAACTAAATTAACCAGTTCACTGATTCTATTCGGTAATGCCTGATGAAGACAGAATGAAAACATAAGCGCATTTAAAAATAAGCTGAAGTATTAAAGTAACACCAAGTAATAAACCTTTGTGATTATTGTGCAAAACACGTAGGTTTTCTACAATTACTTAGAAATTGAATTCGAAGGTCAGAGACTAAAGTCTACGCATTTAAATATTGGAATCAATCTATATTACTCAATAAAGAAGCATATATTGTAACAAACACTGTCAAATTTACAGTGAAAAACTTTTTGAGTACTGGTTTGTAGGGATTTGATTGATTGGTTACAGTATTTCATCATGAGCTGACATCAGTTAGAGAACCACTGGAAAACCAGGTGGGAGTACTGGAAGGCTGTTTCGTCCTAGTTTGGGACTCTTCATCAGTACGCACTCACCGGGGTTCGAACCTAGGACCTTCTGATCACAAGGTCAGAGAGCTCGTACACCATTAAGCCACTGGAACCCGATCTAATACCTAGTGCATGAATTCTAACTTCTGCCAATTCACGAAATAGCGCGACCGCTATGGACCATTGGACCGGGTCCCAGTGGCTCAGTGGTCTACGAGCTCGCTGACCTTGTAATCAGAAGGTCCTGGGTTAGAACCCCGGGGGTGCGTACTACTAAATAGTCCCAAACTAGGACGAAACAGCTGTCCAGTACTCTCAGGTTTTCCAATGGTTCTCTAACCAGTGTCAGCTCATGATGAAATCCTGTAACCAAAAGACTTTTTACACCTTAAATTTATACCTTCAACAGCCTATTGGATCTAAGGTTATACTTCGATTGGTGAATGATGTGATCAGCTTTCATGTAAATATTATGCAACTAAATATAAATTATGGCATAAAATCTTACCGAAACGGTAACTAGAACAAAAGAGAAAAGTGAATTCAAGTGACAATAGATCTGATCATTTGAGTCTGTCTTATTCAGAAACACGACTCTCAAAATTTCAATGATAATAATAATAATCGTCATTGATATGCTTTATTTCAAAACAGAATTCTCAACAATCGGTACAATACTGCATGTAATTTACTGAACAACATCAAAAACATCACAGTGTATAAGTAACCAAAATTGATAATATCACCTTTTTAGCATTAGCATTACCAGTAAATTCAAAAAGTGTGCAAAAGGAACAAATTGATAACGATAATATTAATAACTAAAATTTAAGGAAAATAGAAATCGAGTCAACATAAATTACAGAGTAGGAGATCACAGAGCCATTTATTTTGTTAACTACATAGTAAGTCATAGTTCAGAAGCCTAACTGTTTCCTTATCACCTGGAATAGGGTGTCGTTGAGGTTTTCCTCTTACCTGTGCAAGCATATAATCATTCATAATGACTCCCAGTCTGACTCGATGAAATACAAGGGGAGAGTTGCGAATAAAGAAAGTGCTGAGAGTTAGACAATAGGGATTTTACCAATTTCTTACATGAGTTCGATTGTCTGTCGACTACAACAGTAATGAGCTGAATTAGTGATGCACCATTCGCTTGATACCCTTCTCAATGTGCGTCGGTGGCACATTGGTTAGGACTCTCGTCAAAAATGCACATGGTCTGGGGTTTGATCCCCTGCCGATGCACACCTGATATCTATGGTCGGCCTACAAAATTTGGGCTACCGATATCAAATGCTGTAAATTCCATACCTGTACCAAAAAATACGGTGTGGAATCAAGCTGTAATCAAAAACAAGTAAAAATTAAGATATGGCCCTTTTTGAGTAACCCAGGAAAGGCCAGGAGAGTGAGAGATAAAGAACAGTCGGTAAGATCTAAGAGTTAAAAAAAACTGTAAAAGTAGAGACTGAGTGATTCCTGATTGAATTGACTTCTCAGTGTGAGAGAAGGTTAGACGGAACATTTTCTTAGAAATCGACAACAAGATATGGGCTGACCAAGAAAGTTCAGAGGGGAAAACAGTTCCATGCTATTTGATGTCTGACTTAGTTTCTGTTTCAGTGCTCCCTTTGCTACAAATATCTTGTGAATAAAAAGTTCATGTAGATCATGTTTATGCTTGACGGTAAAGTTAACTATCTGACATTTGGAGGGATTTAACGTAAGACATTCACTAAAACTAAAAAGAACCTCCTTATTTTTCTCACAAGAAAGCTGAATAAGCATAAAGAGATAGAAATACAGCTGCTAAAGAATTGAGCATTGACTATAGTTTATTCATAAACTGGAAAGGTAACTGATGAAAGGCTGATTTAGGTTTTTGAGTAATTCGGGTTTAATTCCACTTTAAGTTACTGTTTCCGCACTAGCACTAGCTAGCTACTCTCCTCCTAATAAAAATATGTAGGCTTATGCGCTTAGATGACTTAACTTTCAATGAAATCATATGCTATCATCTATTTTCGAACGTTGAAGGCTTTGCCCGAATTGAGACCTCACTCTACAACAATCATAACAGTATTGAAGTATTGAAAAGACATAACACTCCTTGAGAAAACTGAAACATTTGCTACTGTTATTCTTAAGTTTCATATTTCATCTTTCAAACTAACCAAAAATAACAAAAACGCAACTTTTATCGCATGAGAGAATTTATCAGAATAAAGATTTCAGTGTATCACGTCATCTGAGAAACAACTCACTCACTCACCCCCCCCCCCCCCTAGTGAGCATGTTATGTGAATTTTGAGCTCCTGAAATTTAATATTATAATCTGTATTGGTACATTAATAAGGTTTTTTTATATATACTAAGTTGTTTTATGCTTTACTTAGTGTAAAAAGGGTCACTTTAAACTAAACGATACTTTTAATCCATATGGCGTGTGCTACTAACAAGAATCTATAAATAGTATATTATTGACATTTTCTGCTAGAATTTTGATTTGCGGAGGAATGGATTAAGTTGAGAAAAAAAAAGGAAAAACAAATATCACTGTGAAACGACGTAGAAAGCATAAAATGAAGAAAAAAAAACAAAGAATCAAAATTCAGTTAACTTTCATAAACTAAAGTTTCAATGTAGACTTTCTATATTTTGCCATCACTAAATATCAACAATCAGCATAAATGGAAGGAACCTGAAAGAAACAACCTCTTTCACCTACCTACCTGGAAAGCATCGTTTCAACTACAGGCGGACAGAGCTGACGAGGATATCAAAGCAAGAATCGGAAAAGCAAGATAAGCTTTCATTACTCTCAAGTCTGTGTGGAGGTCCACAACACTCAGCATCAAAAATAAGATCCGGATTTTCAACTCCAATGTGAAGTCAGTGCTACTAAACGGATCAGAGACTCGCACTGCGCGTCATAAAGAGCACTTCAAACAAACTACAGACCTTCATTACCAGTTGTCTTCGCTCAATATCACTGAAGATCAGATGGCCAGAAAAGATCAGCAACAGAGATCTCTGGCAATGAGCGAACCAACCAGGAACCGATTGTGAAACAAATAGGCAGGAAGAAATGGAGATGGATTGGCTGGTCATACTCTGAGAAAACCATCAAGTGACATCACTAGACAAGCCATCGCTCGAGTGGAACCCGAAAGGGAAGAGGCGAGTTGGTCGTCAGTGCAAGGGTGACTTGGAGGAGGTCATGTAAAGAGGAGATGAAAGCGTGTGGGCAGACATGGAGCCAGGTGAAAACTGTAGCAGAGAACCGAACTTTATGGAGACGCACGGCTGAAGCCCTATGTTCCTCTAGGAATTAAAGGAAACAATAATAATAATACAAATATCATTTTACCAATGTGAACAATCCTGATACCAAGTATCACTGCTTCCTTGAAGAATAAAGTTGCCGTCTTTGAAGAGAAGACGTGTAAATATTTCCGGAGGGCTTCGAAGCAGTAGCAGAAGGTGAAACTAGTTGTCTTGAAAGCCCTGTTGTTGAGGGGTGGAGAGAAAAATACTGTTTACAACAGTTCATGTGGAACTGGCTCAGAGACTTCGTGAGATAAGATTTTTGGGTGGCTAGCTTCAAAGTGAAAAAGACAGATAGACAGAAGGCGTTGCAGAAAGGATCATCAATATACTACTGACAAATTCTTGTCATATTGCTCAGAAGAATGGCCCATAAACATACCAAATATGAACTTTGAGTCTTCACCAAATAGTAGGTAATCAGCAGAATAATGAAGTTGATTAATGTATCACTTAATCGATAAGAGAAAGTCATAATTTTTGGAGCAAAACTGTATGTACAACTGTTGAACTGTTGGCATTCCGAGGACTCCAGCTGGGTGGTTTACACATCCAAGTGTGGCTCACACCTACTGTCAAAGACTCGATGGGAAGATACCAGGTTTTGGTTTCGCCGCCCTCTAACTCTCTTCCAACCTAATCTTATGTAGGCTAAGATTGTTTGTTGAGGAGAGGGTGATGGGTTGGAATGAGTGAAACGTGTTCTAGCCACCTCATTGATTGATTTATCCTCCTCACTTAAAATTCCACTTTCAATCTCAATATCACTCACCACATCGTACCACTTAACACTGAAGATAGAACTCAAACATCTGAGGTCGAAAACATCTAGCCTTTTCGTATCTTCCAATTTCAGTGACCATGTCTCACAGCTGTAGAGGAGGACAAAAAGAACTGCTGATCAGTAAACCCGTCCGTTGGTTTATAGCTGAATGTCATTCCTACTCCTGAGATGACGTAAGTTAGCGAATGTCGCACGAGCCTTTTGTATTCGTGCTGAGACCTCGTCAGCAATCAAGCCATTGGAGCTGATGCAACTTCTCAGTAAGTGAGGTGTTCAACACTGTCTACCACTTCATCCACTATATTTAAACTAGGAGTCAGTTCGGAACAGTCCTCGAGCATTATCTTACATTTGATAGGAGCAAGCCTTAAGCCAAACATTGAACGATTTCTGATCAGAGGATTAGAAGACCTTGTATTTCGTTAGCACCTTCATCTAGAGGGACTGTACCATCCCCATTTTCTAAGTCGACAAGACTGTCCCCTGGTAACAAGTCAATCTCTAAGTCGCTAAAGTCAGCGTCAATTCCTCTTGTATATCTATGATAAAATTAAACAAAAATGGGGACACTGGGCATCCCAGACGGACACCACTGGTTATCATTTCAGAGTTCAAGTAGAGTGCCTTGATTAGTGAGATGTACTTTCTCGACAATCCCCTCACAACCAAACATTTCGACACCACCTCTCAATCGACAGAGTCGAATACCTCCTTAAGACTGAGAAACATCCAAGTGTTGAACGCCTTTAAGTATGCCTAGGTTCCAGAATCTGTAGAAGGATGAATCATTTATTCAACTAGGTAGTAACTGACTACTGATTAAGCAAATGCATAAGATGAAAACTGCTCATTATTGTTTTCAAATACTTCTCTGATAGAAAGCACTTAACGCGCATATCCTTTGCATTAAACCGATCATGAACCATTAAAGACAATTATTTACGTATGGACATGAAGTTAACTTTAGTGCGTCGGTGGCACAGCGGTAGAGTGCTCACCAACCACGCCTCATGTGGTCCGGGGTTCGATCCCCGGCCACCGAAGCACTCCTTTACCTCACTAAGCCAGTAGTAAGACTGGTAAAGAGGGAAGGTTGGGCATGAGGTACAACCATCTGTAAAAAATAATCACCACTGCTACCGAAACTTCAAGTCTCTAGCTTGAAGCCGCCCTATGTTCCACTGGGAACGTAAAGGAATGAAAAAAATGAAGTTAGCATCACGTCAAAACACTGGAAAAGATGAAATTTCTGACAGTGTTTATAAACAGCTTCTATGCTGAAAGAAAAAGATATGGATAAACTTCAGAGAAGTAGAGAATTATTGGTAAAGTGTTACAGAAAAGTTTATTATTTTAATACTAACTAAACTGTAACTGTCAAGTACTGGTACGAGTTCAGTCATTATAAACTTAACACGTCAAAGAAAACACCTAAATAGCCACCTACAATACTAAGCTACTAAAACAAGCCTTATCAAGGTTTGTGTGCAAGCAACTGTTATTGATCGACCCATGCAAAGTAACCATTTAGATAAAATAACGTCGAAATACATAGTAAATCATGTTAAATCAAAAACCACTTACCTCCAAACGATTACTGGTCAAATCGAGTACCTCTAGAAATACTAATTCCCCGATAGAGTCAGGCAGTTGATCAATTTGATTGTAGGACAAATCTAATTCAACAAGATGCTTCAGATTTTCTATACCTTGAAAGAAATGTATAAAATGCTTTAGATATATGATATCAGAGGTTGGAATATCAGTTACAAATTCATGTGTCTAAAGTGTTCATCACTAAAAAGTGGAGTGACTTAGTTGTTTATTGCAATACAACTATTATATGAACGTCTATGAGCTGTCTATAATATATATATATATATATATATGTTCAACAATTAAGCATTTTGAAAAATGTGTTTGATGAACAGGGTTAGTAACAAGGTGATTTCCTAAAGTGTGATACATATAATTTACTATTACGATGTCAAATTATAGAGATAATATTATTGTAAAAACGCTGTTGGGTGTTAATACAAACCATCCTGCAGTGTGCTATCTGTAAATGCATTTGAATTTCGTCCCCACACTGAAACTGTGGTGGTAATATCTGCTGTATTACGAAATCTCAAGGCAAAGCACGATAAGTAACTAATAAGTAACTCCACACTTAGACGTCGTAGCTAGTAACACAGTTGAAGTGAACTAAACTGAATGTTCAATGTGGAATCTTGCAAAACGTTCAACAGTTCAATATGCTAAACTTCATAAAAGCACACAAAGTGGTAAGGAAAAGAAATGCAAAGAAATTCTGATGAAGGGAATTGTACGAGATAGCGAATAACTACTTGAAGAATAATGGGAATTCTATGGATCTGTAGGATCAAAAACAGTGAATACCTTTGATTCACATCACCAACAGACATCAGTTATTGGTTTTTAATGTCTTGGAGGTCGTAACCGGTAGTCTACACTTCCCTACGTAATATAGATGGTGAATTAACTTCACATCGTAATCATATTACTCAAATTCTTCTAATGAGAAAAATTGCTCAAGTTAGTTTACATTCTAGATCCCAATACTAGTCATTATCAACCAAAATAGAATAGTTACTGTTGATTTAATCCTCATAAGAGATATAATCTTACACTGTCATCTTAAAACATAAATCAACACAGTATATCCAATATTGGTATTAACTCATCTAGTGAATACATAAGAATAACTGAAAATCTATGAGTATAAAGTTTTCTAATAAAAACATCATTGAAAAAACAAAATAAGTGAGCAAAGAATATCATTTTCGATATCATTTGACGTAACTTCCCTATTCACCAATGTACCACTTATGGAAACAGTAGACTTTGTATGCGAAGAACTCATAAGACAAAACATTGATGTCGGCATTCCTATATCTTTTATCAAAGAGCTTCTCTTGAAATGCACAATGAATGTCCACTTTTTATTTAATAAGGAACTATATAGACAAATCGATGGTGTGGCAATGGGGTCACCACTAGGACATTCTAGCAATTTTCCTTGCGAAACTAGAAAATAGGCCTTTGAAAGATGTTATTGATGAACTTGAATTCTACTGTCGGTACATGGATGATACATTTTTGATTATGAAAAATGAGGATGAAGCAAAGAACATCCTGGACAAATTTAACGAGGTTCATCCTGCAATAAATTTTACTATTGAGAAAGAAAAAGACTCTAGTATTGCATTTCTAGACGTCCTTATGACCAGAAAGGAGGATGGCACAATAAGAAGAAGTGTATATAGAAAACCTACATCAACGGGTCAGTATACTCATTTTTTCAGCTTCGTGCCCTTGAAATACAAACGCAATCTGATAAAGTGCTTGGTTCACAGAGCTAGAACAATCTGCTCTGATGAATGTCTTGATGAGGAACTTAATAATATTAAACGGTTGCTGAGTGAAAACGGTTATCCAGAAAAGTTTATTGATAAGAATATGAATCTAAAATCAAAGCAGCCCAAGGTACCAACAGTTCCTAAAAAGGCCTTATTCTTACAAATTCAGTTCCTCGGGGACAACATCAGCGAGATACTAACACAACGCCTCAGAAATGCGGTAAAAAGAGCATTCCCTGCTGCTGAATTACGCTGTGTCTTCAAAACCACTCCTCTTTTGCGTTCGGGAGTAAAAGACAAACTGCCTAATTTCGCCTCTTCCATGTGTATCTACCAATTTAACTGCTCCTGTGGAGCCAGTTACATAGGCCGTACAATTAGGCGTGTTTCTCGTTGGATTTCCGAACATCACCCTGCCGCCTGGTTAAGTAAAGGACAAACAAAATCTATTCGTAGCTCTATTCTATCTCATCTTGTGGATACAGAACACACGACTGATGTCAACGAGGCTTTCAAAGTCATTTACCGCATACCAACAAATCTTAACTTCGCCTTAAGAGTTCGTCTACTAAATATTGCTGAGACCGTTGGGATCCATATTAAAAAACCTAATTTATGTGTCCAAAAGAAGCTAGTTCAGACATTGTCCTTACCTTGGCCATCTAGGTTCGAATGATCCTCAATTTTTTGTAGAAATTTCCTTAATTCTAGTTGATATTCTATTCGCCATTATATTTTAATTATTTTATTATAATTTAAGTATCTTTAATGAACTGTAATTCCATTGGTCTTACTTTACAAATCAATATTATTTAAAAAACACTAATAATTTTATTGACTACTATTCTAGAATATTCTATGTACATAAACATACATATATAATTGTAAAGCCAGAAGAGGAAATTATCGAAAAAGATATTCTTTGCTCAATTATTTTGTTTTTTATAGATGTCTGAACGAATATTTTCCCTATATTAAAAATATCTTTCATGAATATGTTACATAACTATTAGGAATCATTCCTGTATTTTTCCACATCATTTATAGAATGTTTGGGACTATTACGGTCATATATTGCAGATAAATTACGGATGTTTGAATGGTTAATTATTCCCACTAGAGATTTCGCCTTGATATATTTGGAACGAATCGATTCGCCTCATTTCGACATACAGACACATTGAAGAGATGTCTGTACATGACCATTACTACTAATCCGAAGCTGGTTGTACCTGGTCCTCAGCATGACAGTACTCCCAGTGAAACTCGAAGCCAGGCCACTGACGCAGCAGGTGTGATTTGAAGTTATTTATCTATCTATCTACTTACCTACGATTTGCCTTTGAAGAGGAGGGGGTTGAGTACTAGTATAATTAGAGATACCACAACTCACTGGGTAGCACCTATATCGATTAGATGGGTCACCAAAAAGGACAAGACACGTGTCCTGTACTCCAATACTAGACACTACCAAATAAGTAACTTCAAGTATGAGTGAATACTTTACTCTCATTTCTATTCGTAACTCGACATTTCCTTACATGACCTATATGAGCCTTAGAAGACCAGTATGAATAACGTGAACCATGAAATACGAGCTGCAGTTTCTAAAAGTACATGTTCGCAGGATGTGATAATTTGTTTTCTTGTAAAACTTTAATATAACTTGAAAATAATAAAGTATTCGCATTTGGCTGTACGTTTAGTCAGATACACTAACACTCATAGGAACACGTGTTTGCTATATCTTGGTATATTTGCAAATGGGTTTTTTTCTGATCATTTACGATCAAAGGTTTCTCTCAATAGAAAACTTTATAGCTCACTAATATGAGACAATGCATATATACATTATATGCAAACAACAAGAAATACCTTTAAAATCTAAGCTCATAATATTATTATTGCATAGCTTCAATGTAGTTAATTGAGTATTCTCTGAAAATAGGCTTGCTTCAAAAGATTCCAAATGGTTATAGTCCATATTGAAATGCTTCGCAAAGAAAAATGAAAAAAAGGTGAAGAAAGAAAACGTCATTTCAAAAATATTTCAATGAACTGTTTACCTTAAACAATACGAAAAATCTTTCAAAGTAAGTAAGTCAGTAGAGAAATTTATGAATGTAGGCACAATGCACGCAAATTGTTTACCACTTCAAATGTCATGGATTTGACTAGCAGCTGTTTAAACACTACTATTAGAAATAAGTTCCAGCTTTCTAGTTGTTCATTAGGCTGCCTAAAGGTATGCCACCTGACGAATCTAAGCATTTTAAGAAGCACTCTGAGGATGAAACATGAAACTGGTATCGTTGTAACTCATGCTTATTCATCATTAGTATTCCCCTGGATTTCAAGTGATACACTGGACTTCGACGGCACATTTCCATTTCATCTTGTTTTCTACAGTCCTCTTTAGCTGTCTCTACGACTTCATGTAAGCTATCGTCTCCTCCGTGTCAGCCTTGGACCCATGCCCAACTCGCCCTTACCCACTTGGATTACACGGGAGAGCACAATCTCAATCGACGGTCTCCTCAGAGTGTGTCCGATCCATTTTCATTTTCTTGGGCATATTTGCTGTGCAGTAGGTTCTTCGGCTGGTTCGTTCTCAGAGTTCCTCGTTGCTGATTCTTTCCGACCGTCTGATCTTCAGGATCAAGCTAGTGAAGGAAGCTGTTGACAGATGTCCGAAGTATGTTGGAAGTGCTTTTGGTGAAGCGCCAAATCTCTGAACCCCATAGAGGTACTAATTTGATCTTAGTGTTGAAAATCCGAATCTTGTTCCTTATGCTTATTATAGCAGACTTTCACACTGACTCCAGAGTAATAAACAAGTGTCTTGCTTCTTCGATCCTACCTTTGACATCCTCACCGTGCCATTGCAGTTAAAAAGATGCTGTACAAAAAAAGTGAAAGAAGTAACCTCGTCCAGATTTCACCCTTTGACGGTGATTGATGCTTGTCATTGTTATTCGATGAGTATCTTCATCTCTTCTGTCTTCTCTATGTTCACTTGTAGTCGTGGTTTTGTTACTGCTGCTCCTCCCAAACTTATTGGTTTTCACCTGTAGATCTTCGAGTTTGCATGGACTCTCGCCGATCACGCACATGGTCCGGGGTTCGATCCCCTGCCGGCGCACACCCGATATCTATGGTCGGCCTGAATTTGGGCTACCGATATCCATGCTGAAAATTCCACACTTGTACTGAAAATACGGTGTGGAATCAAGCTGTAAATCAAAATTAAATTAAATTAAAAATATTAGACACAAATGGTCAGCGAAGTTCAGGTCTTCTGGAGTCTTCTTATCCGGGAATTCATGCTAATGGCATAGAATAACATCCTGTGTTATAAAAGTTATTAGAAAATAGGTCTTTATTAATTTTAGGCTTACCGACGCACTATTTTCAATAATGCATTTTCATATGGACAAAATACATAAGTCTAATGATGACTTCGTTTAGGACTATCGACCAACAAATGAACGAGACAATGATCCACTTAATGAAAAGTGATCATCCACAAGCAATATTTCATGACATACTGTGTGGACAACTAAACAGATGACATTTCGGGGGAAAAGAAATATATATCCCAAAATATCTGTTTCACTTTATATGATCAGTCTACATAAAATCCTTCTTACTACGAAATAGCACTAATAAACTTCTACTTTCTACGATTAATTCGGCGCTATTATTATTATTGTTTCCTTCAATTCCTAGAGGAACATAGGGCTTCAGCCGTGCGTCCCCATTGCGTTCCATTCTCTGCTAGAGTCTTCACCTGGCTCCAAGTCTGCCCATACGCTTTCATCTCCTCTTCACATGACCTCCTCCAAGTCACCCTCACACTGACGACCAACTCGCCGCTTCCCTTTCGGGTTCCACTCGAGCAATAGCTTGTCTAGTGATGTCACTTGATGGTTTCCTCAGAGTATGACCAGCCAATCCATCTCCATTTCTTTCTGCCTATTGGTTTCACAATCGGTTCCTGGTTGGTTTGCTCACAGAGATCCCTGTTGCTGATCTTTTTTGACCGGCCATCTGATCTTGAGTATTGAGCGAAGACAGCTGTTGATGAAGGTCTGTAGTTTGTTTGAAGTGCTCTTTATGACGCGCAGTGCAAGTCTCTGATACGTATAGTGGCAGTGACTGACTTCACATTGGAGTTGAAAATCCAGATCTTATTTTTGATGCTGAGTGATGCTGACCTCCACACAGACTTGAGAGTAGTGAAAGCTTATCTTGCTTTTCCGATTGTTGCTTTGATATCCTCGTCAGTTCTGTCCGCCTGTAGTTGAAACGATGCTTCCCATAATTAATCAGCAAATTTTCATGGCAGTGCAATAAAGAAATGCACAGAACAAACGAAATTCTACATAATAATTACAGGATTTCAAAAAACATTAAGGCCACAGACCCATCATGTGGTGGCTGTCCAGAAAATACTCCAATACTCCAATACTCACAGTGAAATATAAAATGGGTGAAATGCAGTCATATGCGTAAGAAGCTTTCACTCACCTTCACATTTTTGTATTGTGCATTATCTCCAGATGGAAAGGATGTGAAATCATTACGCGATAGTATCACTGATGTTGAATCTTTGAAATTACAGAGTAAATTTTCCTGTGCATAGAATAAAAATTAACGCTTAACAGATACCCAAATGCATAAATGGTGTCACAACATTACAGACATTCACTTTGAAGTTATCATGATACACAAATAAACCGAAATTGTGTGTTACACACTTCAACCCTGCAATTCATAAAAATCATTAGCAAAACTTTTTAGTGATTTACAAGTTATTTAATTCAATTTTAGATTTTCCCGACGATTGATTGGACAGAAGTGCGCGGTCTCAGGTTGACATGTCGGCTTCTTGTGCAGATGATTCGACGATATCTGGGTATGTATGTATGTATTACTATTGTTTCCTTTAATTCCTAGAGGAACATAGGGATTCAGCCACGCGTCTCCATTGCGTTCGGTCCTCTGCTAGAGTTTTCACCTCGCTCCAAGTCTGCCCACACGTTTTCATCTCCTCTTCACATGACCTCCTCCAAGTCACCCTCACACTGATGACCAACTCGCTGCTTCCCTTTCGGGTTCCACTCAAGGGCTTGTCTAGTGATGTCACTTGATGGTTTCCTCATAATATGTTCCTGGTTGGTTCGCTCATTGCCAGAGATCTCTGTTGCTGATCTTTTCTGACCGGCCATCTGGTCTTGAGTATTAAGCGAAGACAACTGTTAATGAAGGTCTGTAATTTGTTCGATGTGCTCTTTATGACGCCCAGTGCAAGTCTCTGATCCGTATAGTAGCACTGACTGACTTCACATTGTAGTTGAAAATCCGAATCTCATTTTTGATGCTGAGTGCTGTTGACCTCCACACAGACTTGAGAGTAGTGAAAGCTTGTCTTGCTTTTCCGATCCTTGCTTTGATATCCTCGTCAGTTCCGTCCGCCTGTAGTTGAAATGATGCTTCCCAGGTAGGTGGGTAAAGGAGGTTGTTTCTTTCATGTTCCTCCCATTTATTCTGATTGTTGTCTGTTGCTGTTGGTGTTGGCCAGGAATCTTCATCACCTCTGTTTTCTCTATTTTCACCTGAGGGAAGTCCTATTTTTCATGCTTCTTCTGCCAACTTGTTGCTTTCCGCTTGCATATTTTCCAGTGTATGGGAAATCAGACATATATCATTGACGAAGTCCAGATCCTCCAAGTTTTTGTGTGAGTCCATTTTATGCCTGTTTCCTCACTGCCAGCTGTTTGTCGCATTATCCAATCTACTGAAATCAGGAAAAGCATTGGCGATAGTAGGCAGCCAGTATAATCCAGCCTGGATGCGCATTTCGTCCCACTTGGGACTCACCATCTGGATATACCTGCATTGCGCAATGAATGATGATGTTCCCACCCAGGCTCAAAGAGTCCCAAACAGGACGAAATGCACATCATGGATTCCACTGCTAATCACCGTACACCAATTAACTTCTGATTTACAAATTAATTTAAGGTTGAGGAAAGTAAACTCTGGGAAACCATGAACGTGGCTATTTGAAAAGTGAACTAACATAGCGTACATATACATTCACGCACAACTGTTACTAAAATCCTAAGAAAATAACTGTAAAACATCAGTGGGTTTGCAATTAATTCTCATGGTGACTTTAAACACACTGGGGGAGAAATCTCGTACAGAACTAACTACTCCTCAGTTTTAGATATTGAATGTGATCAAGAGTGAACCAAGGAATCTGTGTAGCGCTGAATTTTAAAATTTAAGGTAAAGAGGTAAGCATTCCAATGATAAATCTGTCAAATAATTGCATAGTTTGAACCGAACAGAAGTAAATTAACCAAAAATAATTGCTGATATAAGCCATCAGTAGCTTAATGACATTATTTCATTCCGTGAAAAAAAATATATTAAAAGCTGTTATAAATGACCAAGAGATTAGCGATAAATGGAAGTATTTAAGCTTAAATATTGTAACACGCTTGGGGAATTTTAGAAATATACTGTGCATAAGACAATAGACTTATTTGAATGAATGAAGCAGAAGGAAATACACTCGTAACATTATAATTCCACACTTTCTTGTCAATAACAAGTGATCCTCAAATTCGTTATGAATAACATGCCTTAATCAAATTCATCACTTGAAAATTAAACAGTTCCTGATGAGAATTCAACACAATTTCCTTTGGTGGCCGAAGATACTCAGATTACAATATGAGATCTGCTTGATAGCATAAGCGGGAATCAAGCAAGCAAGGAAGCAAAATACTACTGATTTTTATGAGTAGTAGTTTGAAACTACTCACTTAAAGCAGTGACGCTTTCTAGCCAGACAGAGGTGATCACTGTCAGCAGTGTACCCTAATCAACTCAACTCAGACAGAAGAATCAACTTAAACCAGTCGAATCCTGAGTACCCGATTAGTCAGACTGGCGATATAAATAATAATTCTAGCTGCTATTATAATATTTCCTTGCGTTCCAAGTGGAACATAGGGCTTCAACAACACATCTTCACTTTGTTCTGTTTTCTGCTGTCCTCTTCATCTGGCTAGCTCCACGATTGACCAAACTATCTCATCTCTTCCTCCCTACACAATTTCCTCCATGTCACCCTCGCGCTGACGACCAACTCGTTGCTTCCAATTTGGATTCCACTCGAGGCACTGCCTGGCGTGTGATGTCATTCAATGGTCTCCTCAATGTATGTCCGGTACATCTCCCTTTCCCCTACATATTAACTGAGCGGTCGGTTCTTGGTTGGTTTGTCCCCAGCCAGAGTTTCTTGTTGCTAATTCTTTCTGCCTGGCGGGCTGGCCATTTGATCTTCAGTATGGGATTGGCGAATGCAGCTGTTGATGAAAGTCTGCAACCTGTTGGAAATCCTTTTCGTGACACGCTGTACAAGTTTCTGACCATTATAGAAGCACTGACCGACTTCACATCTGTGTTGAAAATCCGAATCTTGTTATTTATGCTGAGGTGGAGTGCAGAAGATTTCCAAACTAGTTTCAGATTGATGAAGGCGTATCTGGCCTTTCTGATTCTAGCTGGCTTTGACATCTTCATCCGTGCTGTCGCCTGTAGTTGAAACAATGCTTCTTAGCCAGATAAGTGAAGGAGGAAACCTCTGTCAAATCTCTCGCTTTGATGGTGATTAGTGCTGGTCGTTGTTGTGCTGTTGATTGGTTATCTTCATCACCTCCGTCTTCTCTGTGTTCACCTGCAGTCCTGTTTTCGCTGCCAGCCTCTTCAGCCAGTTTGTTGGTTTTCGCTTGCAAGTCTTCGAGTTTGTGTGACATTAGACATATATCATCCAGCGAAATCCAAATCTTCTAGATGGACAGTTCTTATCGGTTGTCCACCGTATTCCTGACTCCTTGCCCCCAACAGTCTGACGCATAATCCAGTCCACCACAATTAACAATATCATCGGTGATAATAAGCAGCCAGCTTGTCTTACTCCTGTGTGCACTTCGAACGCCTCACTGAGTTTTCCGTTGTGAATCATCTGACACATGGCATTGTCATATAGCCAGCTGTTGAATGAGGTTGACAAAGACTTCAGGTATGTCGTAATGTTGAAGTAGTTTCCAAATTACTTCTCGTTCTACTCTGTCTAGCTGGTAGCAACAACCAACGTTTAATGTAGGTTGTTTCCAACCGGTAACATCAATCCGTAGTACATACCATCAAGCTTACATACTTTAAGCACTAAAGAAATAGTGCATAAAGTGCGGTTAAAAAAATTCTGAAGTTGTAGACGTCTTAATATGCAGTTAGAATCAAAGTCAAATTAAACGTTAATCAAGGTGAGAATCATAAAAATACGAGGTAGGTATGCATCAAAAGCGATAAATAAAGTTATCTCAAGAAACTGTGTAACATATGAAAGAAACGAATTTCTCAAGATTATCATTAGTAAGGGAGTGCAGTGAAGCAATTTAGGCAAAGTCAAACTTTAAGCACCACCAACTACCACTCAGCAAATGACCTCGAACGCACCAGTCACGTGAAGGGGTCATTTGTGTGTTTGGAATACATATATTTATGAAAAAGATGCATAAAAACTGTAGAAAAGTATTACAGGGGAAACATTCCTCTCAAATGTGATAAAAGCAGCTCTCAGTTTTGGGTTGGAGTATCAACACATTGTAATTCCATTGTGGGTAAAATTTATTTTGCTAAAGTTTCATAGTGTTATACAGTAATATTTACTGAGCAATAAATTGTGCTCGAAACGTCATCAGTAAATATTACCGTATAAAACCCTGAGACTTTATCAAAACAAATTTTACCCACAATGGAATAATACTCTACTACAGTGCACAAGCTTTATTCTTATATCAACAGAGTAATTTAACCACATTCTATGCCTGTAATTATTCAGGTCTTCTAACCCTGATCTTTCCTGAACCTAACCGTTACGTAAAAATATCCCTAAACTAACTGTAATCCAACTCGAACTAACCCTAATGTCTCCTTTATTAGGTTAACCTAAGCCTAACTTGTCCTTGGCCTAAACTGTAACTTAATCTCCCCCAAACCTAAGCTGAAACTTGTCAGATATCCCATTTATTAGCTTAACACTTCGATGAGCATATTTAACTGATGATGACAACATTATTTGCCAGGTTTCACTAACTTGCTCAGTGAGCGTATCAGCGTCATTAGTGCGGTCGCACTCCATTGGTGGTTAGTGGTGCTTAAAGTTTAGCTTAAACCAAATTATAGCGAGATGAATGCTCGTATACCATGGAATTGAGAGCTGATTACACTTTCTGATATCGAGTTGAAAACTGCTTACGGCAATTTATTCCGTGATTCAAAATAACTGAATCATCTCTAGCACATTTGTATTTTGAAGTAATAAGAAACGTCATTAAAGTGGTCACTGAGTCGAAGTATATATTGACAGTATAAGCAAGATATTTACTTTACTTTCAGTACCCTTTGGAATACATTTTTAAGTTAGAATTAAAGGCCTATTCTTAGTCCGTTCAAAATGCTTTCTTCTACAAGCAAGAGCATACCTACAGACACGACTGTAGGTGATTTAAGAAGAATACTTTGTTATATAAGTATACATGTTTTACAAGAGA